CTCTGTCTGTTTTCTGCTTCGGGTAGCAAACCCATGTAGCCGCGGCTGTCTTCTCCTCCTCTCCTGCTGCAAGCCCCCCCACCCCAGTGTATGGTTTTTATACAGGGAATGTGTCTTTAAGAGCGGCAACCGAAGCAAATGGCCGGTGGAAATCACAAACAGTGATCCGAGTTGTAATGTAATCTGAGGGCGAGACGTGATGGAAGACGCATCCACGGAGGCAGCCTTTAGCTGAGTAGTTTGAGTAATGAATATTGAAGGAATGTGTCGGCCACAGGCGAAAGGGAAAATCTTTCATCCGCATTGGCTTTAAAACGCACACACACACACACACACACACATGCCATCAGAGGAAACAGAGCCTTTCATTCCCGGGATTCACCTTTAATAGGACAGCGACGGTTGAATTTACTACAATGAGGAAGAGAGTCGTCGGTCCATGAACAATAATAACAATAATAATAATAATAATAATAATAATAACAACAACAACAGAGTCAGTCTGGCCGATTCCTATGTAGCCAAACATGTTCAAGTATCGGATCCGCATGTTTTTTAATGAACTGAAAGTCCTGGTGTTTATGCGATCCGATTCGAGACAGTCCGGCTCAGACACAGAGAGACGCTCCACAGCCAACACCACCACCACCACCGCCACCACCATGCGAGGTCTGGGGATGGGCGGCTGCGGCTGGCCGCCCTTCGTCGACTGCCGTTCGCGGGACGATGAGGAGGAATACTACGGCAGCGACCCGCGGCCCCGCAGCCTGGCCTTTGAGGACAAGGAGCCCAAGCTGCAAGTGGGCCTGGACGCCGTGTCTCTGGCCAGCACCGCCAGCAGCCTGCGGACCCCCCAGTGCCGGATCTGTTTCCAAGGCCCAGAGCAGGTAGACGTGCAGCAGAGACCTGCTGACAGACAGACAGACAAACAAACAGTCAGGCAGACAAAGACACACAGCGTGTTTTCTCCCCCCATCATTTCTCTATACTTTCCATGTGTCCCTACAGTCTCTGTGTCGTCCTTGTTTCCGTGCATGAGATTCTTCCATCCTGATCACTGACTGGCTCTTTTGTTGGAAGTTTGAACCCACAACCACATTTCTGTTCCACACTTCTATCTGCCATTTTGATTTTTTTTTCCACACACAGCCAATAACAAAGACTCTGTAATTGACTCAGAACAACCATCCTGTCCTACATCTCTGCCCCCCCCCCCGTCTCCCACCCACCTCCCTCCGTCTTTATGTGAAAAATAGCAGAGTGGTTTGTAAGGCCTTATAATAACACAATAACAAGCATGAGTGTGTGTGTGTGTGTGTGTGTGTGAAGATGATACCTCCCGTCCTCACACAGGCGGTTTCTGAGGCCACCGTTGTTTTGTGGAGATGACAGCTCAGAGATGTGCCTGTCCAAACACCACTGTTTTTATAAGTACGATAATCAGAGAGTGGAGAGGCATCGGTTCCCACGCGTCTGAACCGTGGCCAGCATAGCAACAAAGAAAGTTAGCCAATTAGGTCTGCGGGATGACAAACAAAGTGATAGAATGTGTTTGAGTCACAATCGTTTTGTAATTGTAAATCAACTCCAATCAACAGGATGGTCGACCGCTGGTCTTTTCGTGGTTTCCGTTCCTGCACAGACAGTGGTGTCGTTAAGAGACGATCTAGAAAAACGTGTCATCTTTTCCTCTTCTATTTTTCTTTTTTTTTTCTCCTTCTCTCACTCTGGACCAGGCGTGGGCAAACTTTTTGACTCATTCATATGCACTAAGATACAGTATATCATGTAAAAGTCATGCATAAAGACTAAAATGCTTTTTTATCATTTTCTTCGCCATTTATTGGGGAAATGTGTATTGCAGGGAAAAGTATAATGATAATATAACATATATAATATATAATAAATTATAATTTGGAAAAGTTTGGCGGGCCAGATTATAAAGCTGAACGGGCCGCATCCGTCCCCCGGGCCTTAGTTTGCCCGTGCCTGCTCTTGACTGTGTTGTTTTGTTCAGAGTCCAAACTTGTGAGTGCGTCTTTGTGGTCTGAGGTCAAAAGGTAAAAGCCGTTGACCGGATGTGCTGAAACCTGTTCCGTCCTGTCCCAGCAGGTAGCGCTGAGGAGCAGGTGATAATTAGAAACACCGTGGATCACGTGTTGGTGCAGATGGACGTTAACGTTCGCTCATTTCTCCAAGACAGGCTAACGGTGTAATTACAGCCCATGTGCTAATTTACGATTCCTGCCTCGGAGTTTCTGTTGTCGACGACACAGTGAACCTGCGAGCGTATAAATCACTGCAGGCCTCTTTGAGATGTGCGGTCGTTTGATTTTACAGATAAGAGATCAACCCCCGCTTCTTATCTTACACACCGGAGCGTCTTCCCTTTAATAAAAGGTTGATGTTTTTGGGGCCGTGGGCTCTTTGGGCCAAGGTGACTCATCCAGCTACACATGGCTGT